CTCCCAGTTAGTAGGAAGTGGACTTATTTCTATTTTCTTGAAGGTTCACAACTTTTTCCCTTTTCTTCATCTTTTTTTTCCCTGTACGATCCAGAGAAATATTTCTCATTTCCACTGATTCTTTTTTTTTTCTCAAACTAGTGCCTCAAATGCCTCTCTGAAAACTCAAGTCCACCCATGACAGTGGTCTATTATATTAATTTTGTTTTACTTTCCAGTGAAGTTAATTTATACAACTATAGTATAAAATACAGATTTAATCAAGAGGCAAAATAGGAGGAATGTTGAACAAATTATAATGTCAGATAAATGACTACTGCCAATGATTGTTTCCACTTATTTTTAAGACACCAGCATTTGATTACCCAGAACACAAACAGGCACGTACTTGGCGGTGTCTTCCCTACCCAGCTATGGTGGTGCCTTGTAAAGGTGCAGCTGTGACCAGTCACCTTGGTTCCTTCTCTTGGAGCCTACTACTGCTTCTGTTTAAGGCGGTTCTGCCTGATCAGGACGCTGTCTTAATCATTAAAATATAAGGGCTGTTCACTAAAGATTTATCCCTATTGAACTTGAATGAACTGGAATAAAATATTCTTTATTAATTCTAGATTATGGTCTTTGTCTCCTCAACAGTTTCTTGATTTTTTATTTTTAAGTGACAGGGTTGGTGGGGCGTGGTGGCTCACTGGTAATCCCAGCACTTTCGGAGGCTGAGGCAGGCAGATTACGACGTCAGGAGTTCGAGATCAGCCTGACCAACATGGTGAAACCCTGTCTCTATTAAAAATACAAAAATTAGCTGGGCATGGTGGTGTGTGCCTATAATCCCAGCTACTTAGGAGGCTGAGGCAGGAGAATTGCTTGAACCCGAGAGGTGGAGGTTGCAATGAGCTGAGATCATACCAGTGCACTTCAACCTGGGTGACAGAGCAAGACTCCATCTCAAAAATAAATAAATAAATAATAAAAATAAAAATAAAAAAAAAGAGACAGGGTCTTGCTCTGTCACCCAGGCTGAAGTGCAATGGTGCCATCATAGCTCACTGTAATGAACTCCTGGGCTCAAGTGATCCTCCTGCCTCAGCCTCCCAAGTAATTTGGACTACCATCACATGTCACTATGTCTGGTTAAGTCAGGCTTTTTTTTTTTTTCCTGGAGAAAAAGTGAAGAGAAGCTACTCTTTCCTTTTTATCAAGCTAGCAACCTTTCCTTAAATTCTTGGGTCACCATAGAGATTTCTAAATTATTTTTATTTTTGTTTCATCAGCTGTTTTTTTTCCCTTCCAGCTATAAATGATTCAGTAATTATGTTAGCTTTTCTCAAGAAACCTTCATTTATATACATTCTCATTATTCTACTATTGTTTTATAATCCCTCTGGCCTTTGCTACGTATGATACTTTAACAACCAGATATTTTTTGGTTTTGTATTCAACAATTTCTTTCTTACGCAGTTCTTATATTTTCTGACCAATTATACTTTTAGTTGGTGCTATGGTTTGAATGTGTCCCCTAAAGTTTATGTATTGGAAACTTCATTCCCAATGCAACATTTTTGAGATGGGACATTTGAGAGGTGTTTGGATCATGGGAACAACGCCCTCATGAATGAATTATCAGCATTATCTCAGAAGTGGGTTAGTTATAGCAGGGGTAGACTTCTGATAAATGGATCAGTCTGACCTTCCTTCTCTCCCTGCTCTCTCACACTCTCTTGCCCTTCCACCTTCTGCCTTGAGATGACACAACATGAAAGCCCTCACCAGATGTCAGCAGCATAATCTTGGACTTCCTAGCCTCCAGAACTGTGAGAAATAAGTTTCTTTATAAGTTACTCAGTCTGTGTTATTCTGTGATAGCGACGCAAAATGGACAAAGACAAGTGGCCTATATGTTGAATAACTGACTTTAAAATTTTTTGTTATATAAATTTCCACCGTGATATATTACACATGTGCAAAATTTATGTACATTGTCAAACCAGAAAAGTAACCTTTTCTATCTTAAATAATTAATATGAATGTAATACTCAAGTGCTATGAAGCTTTGTAAAAGTGTTTCTATATTATCTTTCTAATTTTGAATCAAGGGCTGAAAACTAATTCAATAGGCTAATTTTTCTTAATATATCAAGTAAGCAAGCATGTTTACACATGCTCATTTTCTTACGGCCTGCAGGAGATGGTAGGAAATAAAAGGTCCAAAATAAATAGATTTTGGTGGACAAATTAGTAGAAGCAGGTTATGTGAGATATAACAAAGTGAAAGAACCTCTTCTTAATTGGAAGCTTTTGGGTATTGATGGACTGATCAAAACAGGTGAGGCTGGCAGGAAGCCTGTGGTTTTTCCAGGTTTGTGGCAGTGTAGGAGGCCAGAATTTGGCTGATGGGTATGAGAGTTTCTGGGAAATGAGCTAAGTTTGCTGTTAGGAATTATTAAGTGAAGGGGTTTATAGAACAGTCACTTGGAGCTGGATTCTATCAAGGGGTCCCTGGTTCATATACAGTTGCCCCCTCCAAAAAGAAAAAAACAAAAAACAAAACAAAACAAAAAACTGAAGTCTGGGCCAAGTACCAAAGGAACTAAAGGAAAGGGTGGGGACAGGGCAATGGGGCCACAACGTGAGGGGAACATGGAACATGGTCTCTCCTCCTATATGATGATCTGGAAGGCTGGGGAGCAACCTGAGGTCCCCAATACACATGGGAAGAGAGGTGTGTGGAAGGCATTGAAGAGAAACATTGCTACTTTTGTAATTTTACCTGGTTACAAACATTTAAACATGTAAACGGTTTAAATTTACAAGTATTTAAACTGTTTTCTGCCGTAACAATTTTGTGTTTACAGTAACTGTTTCAAATCCACCAAAGTACCAATTAACAATTTATTCCATTCTATACTTTCTTTCTAATCTAATTGCTCTGTCCCTATAAAATGGCAAAACTGTAGAGAAATATAGTGTTTTCTCAAAGACACATCTCTCTGGAGTATTTTTATGGATAGTGTTGAGTGCCAAGGTTACCATGAGTGTGCAAATATGAGCTGACCAAGAAAAGTGATTTTCATCTTGTTTTCCCAAAAGGATATTTATATTTAATTAAAAGTAAAAATCATCCTGTGTAAGAAATTGAACTAAAATAAAATTCTAATACCACTGGAGCTAAACCAGTGGCAATTTATTTAAAAACATCTGAAAAGTTTGACAGTGCTACGTTTGGGTTCTAAGAGCAATCATTTTCACTTACACATGGACACACAAAAACAGGTAAATAGAAATATGAGTCAAGAAAGTAAATGAATTTTATCTTAGCCAGGTACATAATTTAGAGAGTCTGCATCAACTAGATAGTCTCCTTATAACCTACTGTGTGTGTAGTCGAACACCTGGAGAAAAATAGCTCTGATACTTTGGAGCCTCACTTTTGAGTAATGTTCAGGTAGCTGAGTCAGAATGTTTTCTCATAAATCCTAAAGCTATTGTTCACTGTTGACTAATTAGTTCTAGCTCTTGGCTAACTGGGACTCAACATTCACTCCCTTTATGTTTTCAAAGGAAATAGGGAACAGTATTTCCTTTAATTATCAACAGTATCTTAGGCTTAACCACGGAACTATTTTATTTGATATAGGACAAATCACTGAAGTAAAACACAACATTTATTGGACTAGTAAACAAGAAAATGTTGGTATTAACATGTATTTATGAAAATGGGTTTCCATGCTGCCAAGAGATGGACAAACCATACTGGGAAAAAATTTCTTTTCTATTACTAACTTAAGATTTATTTTTCAAACTGTGAGCTTGTCTTTCATCACCTAACTAGCCCCACCTTCTAAGTGAAGTATTTGATCATGCCAGTCCAAAGAAGTCACTCTTCTCAACTCCTGAGCATTCATTGCCTCTCCACATTCATACTTCCTTAGGATAATATTTACTTTTTCCTCCCTTTAAAAAAATTTTCTTTGACTGAGCCTTGCTCTGTTGCCCAGGCTGGAGTACAGTGGTGCAATCTTGGCTCACTGCAACCTTCGCCTCCCAGGTTCAAGGGATTCTCCTGCCACAGCCTCCCTAGTAGCTGGGATTACAGGTGTGTGCTACCACGTTTGGCCAACCTGTGATGGCCAAGACGGATCACTCAAGTGATCCGTCTGCCTCGGCCTCCCAAAGTGCTGGGATTATAGGCGTGAGCCACCATGCCTGGCCTCCTCCAATTTTTTTGTATTGTAGTAAAATACACATAAAATTACCATCTTAACGATTTGTAAGTGTATAGATCAGTGGCATTCAGCACATTAACTCTGTTGTGGAATCATTTTCACTCACATGTGGACACACCATAACAGGTAAGTGGAACCATCACTACCGCCATCCATCTCCATAACTCTTTTCATCTTGCAAAACTGAACTGCCCAAACACAGTTTTTGTGAGGCATAAACAATTTATTACTCTTAGCACTCTGACATTGTAAGCCCTGTGTATGGAGCACCCATGTATTAGTTATACACTATGGTATCTACTATTAGCCATTGTTCTAAGTGCTTTGCAAATATTAACTGGCATAATTATTTATCTTTGTATGTTCTGCAGGATCTAGCACATGCTTTGCACGTGAGAGCCAAAATATCTGAGGGATGAATTTCGGTACCACTTAAACAGTGACTCTGGCTGTTCTTCTGGTTGGCAAGTTATGAAAGGAGCAGGTTACCTTGGGGAAAACGACTTTGGGGGCATAATCTGATATTAGGTCGTAAGTTTTAAAAAGTTCTTTATTTTAGCCACATTTAGCCCAGGTTTCTAATGATGGAAGCTAAGAGGGAAGTTATTCCTAAATGATAGAGAATATAGGAAGTGACTCAAAGCAGTTAACGTCTTGCTTTCTAGGAGCACCGCGTTCGACTCCAGGAAGGCTCAGGCCACAGGGAGTGCCGGGGCTGGGACTGCCTGGGATCCGTCCGCAGGGTGGCGGGCGGGGGCGGGGCTCCGGGCAGGGGCGGGGCCGGGCAGGGCCGGCCGGGGCGGAGCGCGCGACTGCTCCGGGCGGCGATGGCGGCGGACGGGGACTGGCAGGATTTCTATGAGTTCCAGGAGCCGGCCCGGAGCCTCCTGGACCAGGAGAACTGTAACGCGAGCCCCGAGGCCGGGGCTGGGGCAGGGGCTGGGGCAGGGGCGGGGGTGGGGGCAAGCGGGGGCGCCGACGGCTTCCCGGCGCTGGCCTGCAGCTTGGAGGAGAAGCTGAGCCTGTGCTTCCGCCCCTCGGATCCGGGCGCCGAGCCCCCGAGGGCGGCCGTGCTGCCCATCACGGAGCGCAGCCTCTTGCAGGGGGACGAGTGAGTGCGGGCCCCGGCTGGGAGCGGGCGGGAGCCTCCCTTGCCCCTAGCCCTGCCCGCCGGCCCTCCGGCCACAGCTCCTCCCCGCGCCCTCCTTCCGCCTCCATGGACGCGGGAGTCCCCGCCCTCTCGCCTCCCTCCTCGGGCCGTCGGCCTCGGCTCGCCCCGCGATTTAAATCCCCTGCTCCCCGCCCGCCACGCTCTCTGAAAACCTCGGCCTCGGCTCCCTTCCGCTCTCCTTCCTGCAAACAAACCCTCGTTTGCTTTAGAGGAGAATCTCCTGTGCAGAGCTCGTAGTTAGAGACGGCACCACCTGGGGCACCTGTGTCGCCATTCATTCACTCAAGTCGCAATTATTAAGCACCTGCCGAGTGCCAGGTGCTGCCTCGCACAGAGAACACCAAAACGCCTGGGCATTTTCCCTCCCAAGTACGACGCATCGTAGGATGGGAGATAGATTTGTAAACAGATATTTGTGTGGGTGTAATTGGCGCTGCAGTGGATATAGGTACCAAATGTGGGAGACTTAAAAGCGTGTGTCTGGGGAGAGTCAGGAAAGACTTCAAAGAGAAATGCGCAAACAAGATCTGACTGATGCGAGGGAGTGTGCCTGCAGGTGGAAAAAGGTCTAACATCCTAGGTGGAGTGTGTTGCCCGTGTATAAGTACCAACGTGCGGGACAGCATTGAGGGCACAGGAATCTGTGGGACCCATCCCAGAGCCCTGGTAGAGTGCGAGCCGCCACAGAGGCGAAAACCAAGGGGCCTGCTTGTGGATGGTAAGGATCGCATGGTCTGGTGGGGAGACCAAGGCATACACAGGTAATAATAATTACAGGATCACCTGAGTGCAATGATAGGAGGTTGACAGGGATTTATGAAAGCTGGGCGAGGGGAGGCTCAGAGTTCCTGTGGGCACTTTTTAAACCACCCTGAGCCGCAATTATAATTTGGTTAAATAAGAGTTGTGATTATGTACCACGGTTTTACCCCTAATAGGAATGGTGAGAGTGAGGGAACTTGAGTATGTTATGTATATAGGGGGAGAGGAGTCCCTGGAGAGGCTGAAGGTAAAATGAGTGGAATAAGACTGGGCGCGGTGGCTCACTCACACCTGTGATCGTAGTGCTTTCGGAGGCTGTGGTGCGAGGATGGCTTGCGCCCAGCGCTTCGAGACCAGACTGGGCAATACAGTGATACCTCGTCTTTACAAAATTTAAAAAGATTAATGGAGTGTGGTGGCGCATACCTGTGGTCCCACGGACCCAGCTGCTCAGGAGGCTGAGGTGGGAGGATTTTGCTTGAGTCAGGGAGGCGAGGGTTGCAGTGAGCCGTCATCTCACCATGGCCCTCCAGCCTGGGTGACAGAGCGAGACTTTGTCTCAAAAATAAGGACATGGGAAGGAATGGATTTTCAGAGCATTGATGGGACGGAGAGACTCTTAGAGGTTAGGAAAAAATGTTTGAGAGACAGGGCAGGAATCATGGGCATGGAAAGGAGTTAACAGCCGGATTGTCTCCTTTCTTCTGGGAAACAGATTTATCAGGAATAAGGAAGGAAGCTTGAAAAGATAGCTTTGGGAGTGGGTTCTGTAAACATGGCCTAGCAGTGGTGCAGCCCCCCCTGAGTTCGGAGATCCATCTCCTTTCATTGGTTGCTCTAAATACTGTTCTGCCTAGGTGTAGAGGAGGGAAGAATTTGTGATGGATTTTATACACACATGCATGCAGGCAGCAGCAAAAGATGACATTTCTGGAAGTCTATTCCCAAAGAGAAGTTAATTTTATGTATATGTAGATTTAGATACTCTGAATCACTAAACCCCGGACACATTCTGGATTTAAATATTAGTTTAGATTTATTATGTATTTGGCTTTATCAAGAGTAACTGACTTAAATCAATTAGAGGATTGTACGTAGAACGTTAAGAGTCTTTGTTTTACTCAGACTGTCAGGAAAGTAGGTTATTTTAGCCTTTACTTAAAAAAATACTTTGTTGCTCTTGTTAGTGGTATTTAGTAGATGTTATGTTGGTGGTAATGCATGTTTCTTGAGAATGCATAAGAAATCTCTCTTTTTTCAGGACTTGGGAGCTGGTCACCACTGTCATTGTCCCTTTTATATGACAGAAATATACTCACCATTGCTTGATAGTCTGTTCCAGCTCCCTTTTCACTAGATAGAATTGATAATTGTTTTACTCAGACCTGTGTTTTAGGTCAGGGGATCCCCAGTCCCCAGACCAGTACTGGAACTGGGCCACATAACAGGAGGTGAGTGGCTGGGTGAGTGAGCAAACCTTCATCTGTATTTAATCTGTATTTACAGCTCCTCCCCATCGCTTGCATTACCACCTGAGCTCCACCTCCTGTCAGATCAGCCACAGCATTAGATTCTCATAGGAGCGCAAACCCTATTGTGAACTGCGCCTGTGAGAGATCTAGTTTGCACACACCTTATGAGAATCTAATGCCTGATGGTCTGTCACTTGTTTCCCCTTACCCTTAGATAGGACCATCTCATTGCAGGAAAACAAGCTCAGGGCTCCCTGTTTCTACATTATGGTGAGTTGTATAATTATTTCATTATATATGACTGTGTAATAATAATAGAAATAAAGTGCACAATAAATTGTAATATGCTTGAATCATCCCAAAACCAACTCCCCAACCCCTGGTCTGTGGAAAAATTGTCTTCCATGAAACCAGTCTCTGTTATCAAAAAGAATGAGGACCACTTTAGGGCACTTAACTTCTCTAAGCCTCAGCTTTAGTTTTGGTTAAATATGGATTGTCTTTACCTACTGAGGTTTTACTTTAGAATAGTATTCTGCAGGATTTAATGTTGGCAGGACTTTGACTTCCTTGCAGAAGAGCTGTCCTGCCCACTGTTTATGACGGTTTGTAATACTTAATGATAAAGATGAAGGCGGCTCATATTTCTTAACTGCGGAATTCTAGAAATCTTTCACTAGAGTTTCCTGTATGTCCTTCCAACTACCATTGTTTTGACCTTGGTGGAGACTGTTAATTGGCTTTCGTTTTCTTGGAAGATCAGACTCACCGACAGGTACTTCTAAGTGAAGTATTCTATACCACTTGTATTTTTCTTATAGCCTCATTTAAGAAGGAGCAAATAAGCAGACAAAGCAATCTCCTCAAACCCTGGACTGTCGTCACCTGCTAGTGTATCCTACTCAAGTTCCTGACCACGATTAGGTCTATAGTTAGTGATAAGGTTTGGCTATGTCCCCACCCAAATCTCAACTTGAATTGTATCTCCCAGAATTTCCATGTGTTGTGGGAGGGATCCAGGGGGAGTTCTTTCCTGTATTATTCTCATGATAGAGAAGTCTTACAAGATCTTATGGGCTTATCAGGGGTTTCCGCTTTTGCTTCTTCCTCATTTTCTCTTGCTGCTACCATGCAAGAAGTGCCTTTCACCTCCTTGGAACTGTAAGTCCAATTAAACCTTTTTCTTCCTACTCTCAGGTATGACTTTATCAGCTGCATGAAAATGGACTAATACAGTAAATTGGTACCAGGAGAGTGGGGTGTTGCTGAAAAGAGACCCGAAAATGTGGAAGCAACTTTGGAACTGGGTAACAGGCAGAGATTAGAACAGTTTGAAGGGCTCAGAAGACAGAAAAATGTGAGAAAGTTTAGAACGTCCTAGAGACGTTGTTGAATGGCTTTTCCCAAAATGCCAACAGCAATATGGACCATAAAGTCCAGGTTGAGGTGGTCTCTGGTGAAGGTGAGGAAGTTGTTGGGAACTGGAGCGAAGGTGACCCTTGCTGTGTTTTAGCAAAGAGACTGGTGGCATTTTGCCCCTGCTCTAGAGATTTGTGGAACTTTGAACCTGAGAAAGATGAGTTAGGGTATCTAACGGAAAAAATTTCTAAACAGCAAAGCATTCAAGAGGTGACTTGGATGCTGTTAGAGGCATTCAGTTTTATAAGGGAAGCAGAGCATAAAAGTTTGGAAAATTTGCAGCCTGACTACATGATAGAAAAAAAAGCCCATTTTCTGGGGAGAAATTCAAGCCAGCTGCAGAACCTTGCATAAGTAGCAAGGAGCCTAATGTTAGCCCCCACAACCAACGGGAAAATGTCAACAGGCCATGTCAGAGACCTTCACAGCAGCTCCTTCCATCACAGGCCTGGAGGCCCAAAGAGGGAAAAGTGGTTTTGTGGACTGGGCCTAGAGTCCACCTGCTGTGTGTGGTCTAGAGACTTGGTGCCCAGTGTCCCAGCTGCTCCAGCTATGGCCGAAAGGGGCCAATGTACATCTCAGGCTGTGGCTTCAGAGGGTGCAAGCCTTAAGCCTTGGGGACTTCCATGTGGTGTTGAGCCTGTGGGTGCACAGAAGTCAGGAACTGAGGTTTGGGAACCTCCTCCTAGATTTTAGAAGATGTATGGAAATGCCTGAATGCCCAGCTCACAGTTTACTGTGGGGTCCTCATGGAGAACCTCTGCTAGGGCACCGCGGAAGGGAAATGTAGGGTTGGAGCCACCACGTAGAGTCCCTACTGGGGCACTGCTTTGTGGCGCTGTGAGAAGAGGGCCACTCTCCTCCAGACCCCGGAATGGTAGCTCCACTGACAGCTTGTATGTGCACCTGGAAAGCCACAGACACTCAACACCAGCCTGTGACAGCAGCAGAGAGAGGCTGTACCTTGCAAAACTGTGGGGGTAGAGTTGCCTAAGACCATGGGAGCCTACCTTTTGCATCAGCGTGACCTGGATGTGAGACCTGGAGTCAAAGGAGATCATTTTGGAGCTGTAAAATTTGACTGCCCCACTGGATTTTGGACTTGAATGGGCCCTGTAACCCCTTTGTTTTGGCCAATTTCTCTCATTTGGAACAGCCATATTTACCTAATACCTGTGTCTCCCCCACCCCCTTGTATCTAGGAAGTAATTAGCTTGCTTTTGGTTTTACAGGCTTATAGGCAGAAGGGTCTTGTCTCAGATGAGACTTTGGGCTATAAACTTCCGGGTTAATGCTGCAATGAGTTAAGACTTTGGGAGACTGTTGGGAAGGCAGAATTGGTTTCAAAATGTGAGGATACAATATTTGGAGGAGCCAGGGCAGAATGATATGGTTTGGCTGTGTCCCCACTCAAATCTCAACTTGAATTGTATCTCCCAGAATCCCCACATGTTGTGGGAGGGACCTAGGGGGAGGTAATAGAATCATCGGGCTGGTTTTTCCTGTGCTATTCTCATAATAGTGAATAAGTCTCACAAGATCTGATGGGTTTATCAGGGGTTTCTGCTTTTGCATCTTCCTCGTTTTCTCTTGCTGTCACCATGTAAGAAGTACCATTTGCCTCCCGCCATGAGGAACTGTAAGTCCAATTAAACCCCCTTTTTCGCCCCCCAGGTTCAGGTATGTCTTTATCAGCTGCATGGAAATGAACTAAGTCAATTACTCACCGTTTGAAAATTTCTTACCCAGGAAGGATGAGCCAGAAACCCAGCAAGTTTAGCAGTCTACAGACATTGCCCCTAATTCTACTTCACTGGCATTAGAGGAGATATGATTCCAACAGAGAGGAGCGTAGGAATGGACCATGCCTGTGGGAGTTTTGCTGGGCCAATGAATTAGTTCTTGAGAGCTTTTCGGGTTTACATTTTTATTGAAGCTCATTTTATTTTTTTATTTCATTTATACATTTTTAGAGGCAGGGTCTTGCTCTGTCACCCAGGCTTAAGCAGCCCTCCTGCATTAGCCTCCTAAGTAGCTGGGACTGTGAATTAATTTTTTTTTTTTTTTTTTTTTTTTTTTGGTAGAGATGTGGATCTCTCTTTTGTTGCCCAGGCTGGCCTTGAACTCCTGGCTTCAAGCAGTCCTCCCACTTTGGCTTCCCAAAGTGCTGGGATTACAGGCATGAGCCACCAGGCCCGTCCCTAATGTGTATTTTAAAGCCAAACATCATTTGGGATGTTATCCTTTTAGCAGCTGCAGTCCTATTGCTTCTTCTTTTTAGCGCCTAGTGTCTATTTGTTAACTATGCTGTATCTCTTATTTTAAAATTTTCATTCTTGAGCTTAATACCTAGGTGATGGGTTGATAGGTGCAGCAAATCACCATGGCACATGTTTGCCTCTGTAACAAACATGCACCTTCTTCACATGTACCCTCAAACTTAAAAAAAATTCATACTTATGTTTATGCCCCAACCAGGATTATTTTTGTATCCTAGTGCCTTACACGATTGGAAAGAAAGCCTATTGTTTATTCACAATTAAATACCTAATATATATTTTTTTACATGACATCTTTGTGTATACCTCTAGCTAGTAAGTAGCTAATGTGTTTAGTGTTTGACCTATCCCATTTAGATTTCACCTCACTTGTGTCTCTGAACTCTGGTTTTTCATAAAACATGTTTTATTGCGCTGATTATTACTTTGGTATTGAAACCTGAATTTTGGTCATGAAATTTGAGTTTGGTGTTCTTACCTGGTGTGGTTTGGGATTCTCTTCAATACATCTCATTTGAATTAATGCTTAGAGTAATGGAGCTGTAAGGAGTGTCTGCTTCTTATCCAGGTCTCTCATTTATAGAAGGGCAGTGGATACCTAGAGAGATTAAGGGGCTTGGCCAGTGGCTCGTTGTTTGAAGAAAGATGGAGATGAGAGTTTGTTTCCCTGGTCTTAATCAAATGCCGTTTCCATTTTACCCTCTTGCCTCCCCATAATGCTGGTGGGTAATAAGGTCAGGTAACTGCATTGGACAGAGCCTGTGTGCATTTTATTGTGAACTCCCTCTCTTTCTCCTTTTCATTTTATCTGCCTTAGTCCTTTGCTTCTTTATTACAGATTAGATATTAAATCCTGTTTTCACACTGAGAGCAAATTCTTTCTCCAGAAAGGATAACAAACCTTTGATTAGAGAGGAATTTTTCACTTTTTGAAATGGTCTTTGTGTTTGAAGTTACAGAAGAAAAGTAAGTGTAATACAGAGTTGTATTTATTACTCATGTGACCCTGCAAACATTTCTTACCCTCCCTGTCTTTCAGTTTCTTCATCTGTAAAATGGGAATAATAATGTTTTCCCCTTCTAATGTTTTTCAAGATTAAATGAGTTAATACATATAAATTGCTTAGAAGGTGCCTAGCACCTAATACAACGGAAATGTTGCCTGTTGACTTTGGGGGTTTTCTGTACGCCTTTACCTTCCCTTAGGACTTCTTATCAGCCCGGTTATGTGATTTTTCACTTAGTTTTGTTTAGGAGACTCTACTTCGTTGATGTTTTTTGAGACAATGTGCTTTTTGTTTTTCTCCTTTGACATTTGGTGATCATCTTTCACTAAACATTTGTTTAAGAAAGACATATAGAGTATTAATTTTCATTGATTGTAGTTTTCTTCTTTTTAAGGATTTGGAATGCCCTGACAGATAATTATGGAAATGTGATGCCTGTAGACTGGAAGTCATCCCATACTAGGACCTTGCACTTGCTTACTCTGAACCTCTCAGAAAAAGGGGTAAGTTAGGAATTGAACCAATGGTTTTTGAATAACTGATGCTGATAATAGAACTAAAATTGTAGCATTTCTGCTTAACACAGATTCATTGACCTGCCTCTTATTTCTGAACTTACATCAGTTGGGGAGGTTCTGTCTTACTCTCTTGGCTCTAGGGCTGTCACCTTGCTGGTACATTCCTCCAGTTCTTCTCCAGCACACTCATTTTTGTATGTGTAGTTAAATTTCCATCACAATTTTTTTTTTCTTTTTTTTTTTTCTGTGACGGAGTCTTGCTCTGTCACCCCGGCTGCAGTGCGGTAGAGTGATCTCGGCTTACTGTAACCTCTGCCTCCCGGGTTCAAGCGATTCTCCCACCTCAACCTTCCGGTGGGAGAATCACTTGAACCCGGGAGGCAGAGGGTTGGGATTACAGACACGCACCATCATGCCCAGGATTACAGGCGTGCACTACCACGCCCAGCTAAGTTTTGTATTTTTAGTAGAGGCAGGGTTTGGCTGTGTTGGCCATGCTGGTCTCGGACTCCTGACCTCAGGTGATCCACCTCAGCCTCCAAAGTTTGGGATTACAGGCATGAGCCACTGCACCTGGCAGTGATGATGGACTAAAACACTCAGTAAAAATCCTAGCCTTTGGTTTAATATACTGAGGGTATTTGAATCTCAACATTGAGTTAACATTTTAATGAATGTGGTGAACTCTAGACGTGATATGTTGTCAGGAGACTATGTATTCCTGTGAATACTGGAGAATCTTTAAAAGATATTTTAGTTCTTAGCTTTTTAAGGCTGGGTGCAGTGGCTCATGCCTCTAATCCCAGCACTTTGGGAGTCCGAGTCTAGCGGATCACGAGGTCAGGAGATTGAGACCATCCTGGCCAACATGGTGAAACCCTATCTTTATTAAAAATACAAAAATTAGCCAGGCATGGCGGCATGCGCCTGTAGTCCCAGCTACTTGGGAGGCTGAGGCAGGAGAATTGTATGAACCTGGGAGGTGAAGGTTGTAGTGACCCGAGTTCGCGCCACTGCACTCAGGCCTGGAGACAGAGCAAGACTCCATCTCCAAAAAAAGAAAAAGATATTTTAGTTCTTGTCTTTTCTTGTCTTTTTAAATATGTTCTTGACTAACTTACCTTTCTTGGGGGCTCCTGTGTATGTCCTGGTATTGCAAAGTGAAGACACCTTGACTAAGAAGTGGAGCACAAGTGGTAGGACAGCTATGGGGGCAGAAAAAGGCAGAGAGTTATTGAAGGAAAATCACTGTTAAGTTTGTTTAAAGTTCATGAGAAACGTAGTCAAATGATCTAAGTTTCAGGGCCAGGCTGTTTAAGTTCTTTATCAAATAATAATATAAACTCATGCCACATCTTCTTGTGTGCTGTATATTTCATTAAGCATAATTATGTGATTATTGGGAGTATAGTGCAGTAGTGCTGTCAGTATTTTTAATAGCATTGTTAATGTTTTGTTAAAAGGATTTTCTTATATGTGAGATCAGAAAAGTCTACTGTTACTATTTTCTAGTAAAACGTAGAATTCTTGCTATATTTCCCAGTATTCAGTAGCTATAGAAATCTTCCTGATTGTGCCAGTCGTTAATCCCATTAAGCTTTGCAGACTGACCTGGCATACATTTAATGAAAAGGAACAAAATGAGGGATCTTTTGCTCTGTCTTATGTTTATTTAGGTCCTGACTATAATTTTGGGCTTAGTTCAAGTTTCCCTTCCTCTCTGAAGCTTCCTATTACTGTTTTAGCCTTTGCTGATCTCATGGAATTATACAATTTTAGAGTTGGAAGGGGCTTTAAGGGACACTTAATCCAGCCTCTCACTTGGGGGGAATCCCCACCTCAAGCATCTCTGACAGATGGTTATTTAGCCATGGCCTAAATCCCTGCATGGAAGGAAAACATACTCCCCTCTGTGGGAACTGATGGCACTAGTGGGGATGTGAATTTTGAAAGGACTTGTTATCTGTGCCATGGGGTTTAGCCTTGTTGTCTCAGGGGTGCTTGTCCCTGGAGTCTTTTGTCTATGTCTCTAAAATTACCACTGCCTTCTCTTGTTAATTATGTTTCTGAGTCTGTCACTAGATTGTGACTTCCCAGCAGGTATTTGTATTTGTCTTTATAGTAATGACACTGTTCCTGGCACATAGTATGAAGACACCTGTTCACTATTGAGTGACGAAATGAGTATCAGTGAAACTGTAGGGCCAGAGATTGTGATGGAAAGGTTTTTTAAAAAATATTTTCTATATTATTTAAAATACTGCTGAATGCACCAAAACCAGTCCATGGATACCTTTTTTTTTTTTTTTTTTTTTGACGTATTAAAAAATAGCATAGAAGAGTTTTCATTTGTAGTTTCAAAGACAGGCCCATTAGCAGCATGAATGAGACACTTTAATCCAATTTCATTGACTAAAATATATAGTGGCCCACTATATTCTCTGGTTTCACATCTGCTGCTTTAGCTTTAACTGTGGATTTAAAAACTTGAAAAAAAAAAACCCACAATAAAATAACAACACAACAATAAAAAATAATAAAAATGAAAAACCAATACAACAACTATAAACCATTTACCTTGTTTAGGTATTATAAGTAATTTGCATGTAATTTAAAGCTTACAGGAAGATATGCACAGGTTATATGCAAATACTACCCCATTTTATATAAGGGACTTAAGCATCAGCAGATTTTGGTATTGGGGCATCCTGGAACCAATTTCCCATGGATACTGAGGGATTGGCTGTACGTCTTGTATTGTTCTTAGATTGCATTTTGGGAAGTAGCTCCCTTTTGTTGTCTTTTGAATGTCATTTTCAATGCCAGGGTAATGACATCTCCAAGATATTGATTAGTAATGACGTAGAGTTTAATGCTAGTACTGACATTAAAAAGCCTTAGCTGGAAGAACTCAGCAGATGAAAGTGAACACGTCATCATTCACTTATCACCTTTCTGTTGTGATATGAGTATTCTGGTGATTAATAGATTTGAAATTGGAACTCTGTTTCTCAGGAAGGATTAGCACACATTGAGTTTCTGAAAAACAAATGGACAACAAGGACTGTGTAAGAGGCCACCACATCATTCTATTACACAGTATATAATTAAACCTTTTTTTAACCTGGGAAAGTTACTGTATTTACCATTGCCACCTGGGTGCTCTATTCTTTCCATGACTAAGCTATATAAAATTTACCTTTTGAAAGCATTTTTTTTTTTTTTTTTTTTTTTTTTAAGACAGAGTCTCGCTCTGTTGCCCAGGGTGGAGTGCAGTGGGGCAATCTCGGGTCACTGCAACCTCCACCTCCTGGGTTCGAACAGTTCTCCTTCCTCAGTCCCCCAAGTAGCTGGGATTACATGCATGCCCCACCATGCCCAGCTAATTGTTTTGTATTTTTAGTAAGACGGGGTTTAACCATGTTGACCAGGCTGGTTTTGAATTCCTGACCTCATGATCTGCCCACCTCCACCTCCCAAAGTGCTGGGAGTACAGGCATGAGCCTTCATGCCTGGCCAAAAGCATTCTTTAGATTATTTTACTTAAAAAACAAAGTCTGTAGGAAATTGTTTTTGACAACAGAATTTTTTTTTTTGCATTAAAATGAGAAAAACATTCAGGAAAACTAGTTTGCTAGATTGCAGTTTTAAGTTTTTCTTTGATTGAAGATTAAGATGGCACACTTCTAAATTTGATAGGTCTTTTTTAGAGTAGGGCAACTGGTATCTTTCAAATTCTTACATGGGCACATTTTTTCCATTTGATGTATCTTCAGTTTTATACAGGGAAACAGTACCACCAGATCCGTATCTAACCATGGCATAGGAAGGAGCGATGAGAATGCTTGGCAAAGAGAAGACACATTTATGCCGAATGGGAGAGTGAATAATGATACCCATGACAGCCAGGGCTAGTTTGCAAAGCCTGAAAGGTATTCCAGCTCTTAGCATATGCCATCTCTGTGGGGAATGGACTTGGCTCTCTCTCTGGAAAGATGATCTGGGATCATTTCTGTTGTCATGGAAATTTATTATAATAGTTTACTGGTATTGCTCATGTGTTTTGGTCATAAAACCTATTTTAAATCTGGTACCATTCTTGAATATGCTTATATGATAAAATGCTTCTCATTCATTTCAGCTTAAGAACATCTTCTTTGCTGTATTTTTTCTTCCATGTGCATTTCCTTGATGACAGAGACTTTTGTGTGCGTCTTTATACCTTTAAGAGCAGAAATAAGAAAAAGATAATGATGTCTTCCATGGAAGCAATTTGATTGATTGATTGATAGATTGACAGAGTGTCTCCCTGCGTTGCCCAGCCTGGAGTACAGTGGCACCATCATAGCTCACTGCAGCCTCCAGCTCACGGGCTTAAGCAGTCTTCCCACTCCAGCTTCCTGAGTAGCTAGGACTAAACATGAGCAGTGCCATGCCTGGCTAATTTTAAGAAAAAATGTTTTTGTAGAGACAAGGTCTTACTGTGTTGCTCAGGCTGTTCTTGCTTTCCTGACCTCAAGAGATTCTTCCATCTTGTCCTCCCAAAGTGTTGGTATTACAGGTGCGAGCTGTGGCATCCTAGGCTTCCTTAGGAGTAATTGTTTTCTTTTTTTTTTGAGACATGGTCTGGCTCTGTTGCCCAGGCTGGGGTGCAGTGGCGCCATCTCGGCTCACTGCAACTTCTGCTTCCTGGGCTCAAGCAATTCTCCCACCTCAGCCTCCCAAATAGCTGGCACTACAGATGTACGCCATCATACCTGGCTAATTTTTTGTATTTTTTGTAGAGATGTAATTTTTTCACCATGTTGCTAAGGCTGGTCTCAAACTCCTGAGGTCAAACAATCTACCCGCCTCAGCCTCCCAAAGTGCTGGGATTACAGGCATGAGCCACTGTGCCAGCCTGGATTAATTTTAAAATTAAAACTTTTAGTATTTATAAGCCAGAAGGGGAAAAATAAAACAGAACTATTGTCCTCAAGCTGCAACACAGCAAGAGTGACTGGGAAGGGGGTTTGGAGTATTTGAAGTGGAAGGATGGATGAAGCTAATCGGTAGGTCTACTCCGTGCCAGCGGCATGCCCTTGAAATCACATTGTGCCAATTTTTCATGTTCTTTGATTTTGAAATCATACATCCCCTCTCATCAAGAGCCTAGTTTCTTGATCTTTCTTCTTCTTTTAAAAATTAAATTATTGAAGGGACAGCTGTCATAGTTTAAAAAGTAAATTAGAGCTATAGGACTTAAATGAAATGGCAGTCTCTGCTCCACTTACCTCATCCTTGATTTCTCCGTACCAGAGGTAACTGGCCACTTTAAATTATATCAGCTATTTCTTCTAGCAGATAACATGCTCATGCCATTTTATTTGATATTATTTTCTCAATTTTAGACTTTATTTATTTACTTTCCACCCAGAGGGTGAAGGTTCAGCTCTCTTACTGCCCTTTGCCAACCCCTGACACCAGACCTTCCCGAAAACTTCCCTTCCCCCGTCTTCCCTGTATAATTACATCAACGTCTGGGGTTGAATTAATCTTTATCATTTATATTTACTATTTAAATGTGCATAGTTGACCCATTTTGATATATTATGTTTAAATTTTCTCTACTTAGGTTTTTTCTTAGGATAGTAACTGCCTTTTTGTGATTTATTTAGTTTATAATTAGCTGACCAATTCAGCCTCAGTAGAGCCATAGAACTCATTTAGCAAATGGAGTACACTAGGTGATCTATCAAGTCCTCCTGCTCTCCCTCCTCACCCTCCTCCCCGCCCTCCTCTGTCTCTTCTCCATGCTCTCTGCAGTAACAATTCTAATCTGAATGGCTGCTCTCTAGTTCAGCTTTACAGTCATCATTCTGGGATTTTCACTTTACGATCATGATGAGAATTCTCTTTGCCTGTCACTTGCTATTAGACTACATGTGGTTTTTTCTTTTTCATTTTCCTCCTGGTAGCTTTTTGAGAGAGGGCACATGAGAGGTAAAATTTTTGAGAACTTGTATGTCTGAAACTGTCTTTTTCCTAAGCGCCTGCCTACTTGTTTTTTAGCTGGATATAAGATTCTAGGATGGACTTTCTCCCAACCTGGAAATTTCATTGATTATTTTGTAGCATCTATTATTGCTATTGAGAATTCACATGACATTTTGATTTCTGATCCTGTTAATATGATGTGCTTTTTTTTTCCTCCTGGAAGCTTTTAGATTCTTCTTTTTTCCACAGTGTTCTGAGTTCATGATGCTGTGTTGAAGGCCATGGCCAGGACTTTGCTAGGCTGACGGTGCAGTAAGAAATAAAATAAGAAGGGATGTCTTCACTGTGCAGCAGCCTGGAGTTGCGCTTTAGGGGTGTGGGTGGACCCTGCAGTGCCGATGGGCCTTCTACCTGCCTAATGTTGGAAAGTCAACACGCCAGTGCTTCTTCCCTTGGCTCTTCTCACCTGCAGGTTTCTTACTCTGTAGTCTGTGTTCACCTGCAAACTCCAGATGCTCATGTTATACAGAACTAGGGAAGCAGTAGGGACCTAGCTCCACTACATTTGTCTTCAGCTTTAGATATATATCCTCTGCATGGGTAAATAAAATTATTTTGCCAGGCAAAATTTTATTTTAGTTATATACTATGTAATAGAATGATGTGGTGGCTTCTTACATAATCCTTGTTGCACATTTATTCTTAGGAAACTCAGTGTGTGCTAATCCTTCCTGAGGAATAGAGTTCTTTTTTTGTTTTTTTTTTTTGAGACAGAGTCTCACACCATTGCCCTAGCTGGAGTGCAGTGGTGCGATCTTGGCTCACTGCAACCTCTGCCTCCTGGGTGCAAGTGAATTCTCCTGCCTCAGCCTCCCAAGTAGCTGGGATTGCAGTCACCTGCTACCACACTCAGCTATTTATTTTTATTTTTAATCGAGATAGGGTTTCACTATTGTTGACCAGGCTGGTCTCAAACTCCTGACCTCTTGATCTGCCCACCTTGGCCTCCCAAAGTGCTGGGATTACAGGCTTGAGCCACCGCACTTGGCCTGGGGAATAGAGTTCTAATTTCAGTTCCATTCAACACTGGAATGGTCATGTCATGACAGATAGGTAGATGATAGACAGAGGTTCACTTGTTCATTTCGATCTGCTGAGTTTTTTCAGGCAAGGTTTTTACAGTCAATTCTGGTGCTAAACTCTAAGTCATTATTAAGGGGGCTGTTCATATTGGTATGGGCAGGGTTAAGGGAAACTAACTAGGCATGGTGTAATCCCCCAGGGCTGGCAACAGAAACTGGTACTTTAGCAGTCCTGGGCATGAAGAGGTAAGGACAGGGAGAGATTACCAGAAACTGTTGAGATTGGCTGTGTGGGAGAGGTCTGCTAACCAGAGTTATGGCTTTTGGCGAAGAGCCATAGTCAACAAGTGACAGTCTGACAGGGAGGAAGACAGCAGAATACATGTGCAGCCCTCACCATCCCACCTTCCAGTCTCCCAGTGTCTGCCAGTGGGTTTAACCCATCTGGAAGCCAGACGTCAAGAACATCCTTTGATGTCCTCCATAAAGGTGATCCTCCTGGAGCACAGAGCAGGGTGGAAGATGGTGGTGAGGTGAGAGGTGAATTGCCAGCTCAGTTAGGTTTAAAGAGTTTCTTGGAACCTAGGTTATATTTTTGTTAAGAAGAAATGTGTGGGCTGGGCACAGTGGCTCACGCCTGTAATCCCAGCACTTTGGGAGGCCAAGGCGAGTAGATCGCCTGAGGTCAAGAGTTCTAGACCAACCTGACCAACATTGTGAAACCTCGTTTCTACTAAAAATACAAAAAAATTAGCCAGACGTGGTGGCAGCCACCTGTAATTCCAGCTACATGAGAGACTGAGGCAGGAAAATTACTTGAACCTGGGAAGTGGAGGTTGCAGTGAACTGAGATAGCGCCACTGCACTCTAGCCTGGGGAACGGGGCAAGACTCCGTCTCAAAAAAAAAAAAAAAAGATATTAGCAGTTAGTTTGCAGTAACTTTTATGTTTTCTTTAGAATGTTAGCGTCTACCAATCTTATTATTTGTTGCCAAACTTGCTCCTATTTTTCCTGCTACTCACAGTAATTCTCTATGACTTGCTAACGAATACCATATTTTTTCCTGCATATCTGTCAGCTTTTATAGCAGTCTTCCCCATGGAAAAAAATAGCTAAGTTTGTATCTATCTCAGGCAATAGGGGATGTATGCAGCATCTTAGCAATTTCATATTTATTATACATTCTTCTCGTTTCTGTTCCAGATGAACATGTACTCACTGCTTGGTACAGAGTGATTGTAATAATTTCTCCCTCTCGAGGGAAAGCTCTCAGTAGATGCTTTTCTCTGCAGCCGCCTTTACTCAGAGCTGTTGACTTTGTTTTGATCAGGACGTCCTGCGTTTAATGGTGGGCATTTTTGTTTTTAGGTAAGTGACAGTTTCCTCTTTGATGCATCAGATGATGAGGAGCTGAGAGAGCAGCTGGATATGCACTCAATCATTGTCTCCTGTGTGAATGATGAACCCCTCTTCACGGCAGACCAGGTATAGAGGAGATACTCATCAGCGCAAGGAAAGGAGACTCCAGAGCTGAAAAAGGGGCTTCTTATTATGACACTAAATAATGGCTGTTGGTTAACTTATCTTTCCTATTTTTTCTGGTTATACAGGCTTAATAGTTAACTCTTCCACAGAGAAAAGTAATGTCATCTGAAGCAGAAGGGATTATGTTGGTTGGGAAGATTTCCAACATTGGCATTGTTGAAGTGTATAGCAGGTTACCAAGGAAGGGTTATTGCTTAACCCCAAACCAGAAAAATATTTGTGAATTTGCTTATTTCTTTAGATTTACCCAAATATGGAAAAACTGTGAAGTATCTGTGTAGAAATTACTTAGTATCTTTAAAACCCTGGGTAAAAAGCATTAGCATGTGTTAAAGTACATATTGCGTGCCCCGGAAAAAAGTGAGCATTATTCCTGTGGAATGCTCTAATAAGGTCAACGCTGTATTCACTTAAAACCAGTTGAATCAGCTTTCTCATTTTCTGAATGCTCTTCCCACCTCTCTTGTATTGTTGAAATGTGATGCCAGAACTTCTTCCTGAAATAAAATGTTCCATGGCTACTCGGACTGTGAATTCTACCATACTCTATTTTTAGGCTGGAAAGACGAGGTCAGTAAGGAGATATATTATGGCAAACTTGGGAGGAGGACATTAAAAATTTACATTAAAATTGCGTTATTTGGATGCTCCTTAGTCATATTTGTGGTTAAATTGTTTTAGGCCTGGAAAAAATGCAGTGCTTAAAAAAGCAAGGTAATAATAGGTTGGAGGGCTGTTTTGAGGTAGAGGGTGGACTCAGGATAGACAAGACCTTGAGAATTCATTGTCCCCTCACTGACCCGCCTAATTCCTTAAACTCTCCCTGTTTGTAAGAGTTAGAATAACAGATTCTGTAGGAGCCTTGAGTGGCTCATTGTATCATATTATATTGCCTGTTTTGGAGACTCTTCTTATAATTGACATAATCCCATCTTCTTCAGATTTACCTTTGTTTTTCCTTGGTGGAAATGTTAACTGTTAAGCTTGTTGATTCATAAAGCATGGTAAATATGCTCAGGATGTTTTGCTCCTTCATTTAATTGTATTTAATTTTCTTTTAACTTTAGGTCCTTCTTTTCTAACTATGGAGTAATTTTCCTGGCTTTCCTTTACATTTTTGCTGAGTTCTATATACTTCTCAACTTTTAGAATCTGGAACAGGCAAGATACTGTCGTAAGATTTGAGCAGCACTGCACCAGACAGTAGATCATTGTTTAAAGGCAAATGTATTTCTGAAGTTTTTCTGCTTTTCGTAGCATTTTTCTCTTTAGACGTCTACTTTTTAAGCAATTTAAAAATATCCCTTTATTTTTTATTGAATTAATATATACTATTCTTTTCCTACTGTTAAAAGAATATTTTGCTGTTGTAAAGGTAATTTCTTATTTACATATAGTTTTTTGTGCTATTGCATTTTCTAAATTTTATGTTAGAATTTTTGATGAAATACCTTTACATTGAGGACTTGCATGTCTGTGGTAAATTTTCTGTTATTTGCCTTCTTCTAACGATTACTTTATGATCTGGTTCTGGCATGTCTGAAGTAAATTATCATGTGTTTGTGGCACCATTTCTTAGACTTTGCAAGACATTGGAGGGCCTACTGAATTATGATAGACATAGTAAATCAAATTCTATTTAGGTTTGTGTTTAGTATATTGTAATTTTTTTTCTTGATAAACCATGTTTGCTCCAAATAATCATTTGGAACACCCACACCTGAAAACCACTGGTTAAAGGAGAATTTAGTGCATTTCTACTCTGGATGTCTTAGGTGAACGCCATGTTCCAGATAGATCATTTTCCTTTTGTATATTTGATTAACAGTTGTGTGTATGTTTTCGAAGGTTATTGAAGAAATTGAAGAAATGATGCAGGAATCACCAGACCCAGAAGATGATGAAACCCTTACACAGTCAGATCGGCTTTCAATGCTTTCCCAGGAAATTCAAACTCTTAAGAGGTCTAGTACCAGCAGTTATGAAGAGAGTAAGGGAGTCTGCTTAAATCCATGATGTCTGTGCTTTTCGACTATATCAAATGTATAGTGTGATCTTCTCCAGAAAGCTTTGATTTCAGCCTCCTTCTGTTTGTGTCTATGTCCAAATTTCCTCTTTTTCCTTTTCTGAGATGGAGTTTTGCTCTTTTGCTCAGGATGGAGTGAAGTGGTGTGATCTCGGCTCAGTGCAACCTCTGCCCCTGGGTTCAAGCAATTCTTCTGCCTCAGCCTCTTGAGTAGCTAGGACTACAGGCGCTTGCCACCACGCCCAGCTAGTTTTTGTATTTTTAGTAGAGACGGGGGTTTGCCATGTTGGCCGGGTTGGTCTCGAACTCCTGACCTCATGATCTGCCCACCTCTGCCTCCCAAAGTGCTGGGATTACAGGTGTGAGCCACCGCGCCTGACCCTAAATTTCCCCTTATAAGGACAGCAGTCATGTTGGATTCTGACCTAATGACCTTATTTTAACATGATTACCTCTTTAAAGATCGTATCTCTAAATACTGTAACATTCTGAGGTACTACTAGGGGTTGGAACACATGAATTTTGCAGAGGACGCAATTGAGTCTCTAATAAACCTCATCATATTTGAAGTGTAGAATCAATATTCAGTAATTATTTGTCAAACTTAATTCCTGTCTATACAAATAGACAGGAATTACTATGTGTTACTATGAAGAATTTTGGGAACCACGGATCTGTTTGACGTATATGAAAATAATGAACTCTAGAAACTCTGCAGTTGATTTCTGAATAACTAACCAGCCTGTGAAAAGCCTGAGGCTAGTTGGAAGGTAGACATCTAATCATTGCCATATCTTGTCCTCTCCTTGAATAGGCAGTGATGGGATCTGTGTCTGCTCAACCTGTTTTGTCACCTAGTTTTATCTTTATGGCATGCCCACTCTGAAGCTTAGTTACCTATAGACCTTTGGATTTTATGGCTTCAACATACAGACAGTCAGACAGACCGAATTCTTTCAGATGGTCGATTTGACCACGCTGCTGTAGATACAAGCTACACAGACAGTCAGACAGACCGAATTCTTTCAGATGGTCTGATTGGACCATGCTGCTGTAGATACAAGCTAAACAGTGTTGGGATCCTGACTCCCAAATACAGTCCTGATACCTGATACAGATAGTAAAATCTGTATTGGTTTGCTAGTGCTGCCAGAACAAAGTACCACAGACTAGGTAGCTTAAACAACAGGAATTTATATTTTCGCAGTTCTGGAGGCCAGAAGTCTGAGATCAAGGTGTTGGCAGGTTTGGTTTTTTTCAGAGGCCTTTCTGCTTGACATGCAGATGGCTGCCTTCTCTGTATGTCTTCACGTGGTCTTTCTTCTGTGTCCTGATCACCCCATTTTATGAGAATACCAGTCATACTGGGTTAGGGCACATCCTGATGTCTTCATTTAACCTTAATTTACCTCTTTAAAGACCCCATGTCCACAGTCTGAGGTCCCGTGGGCTGGGACTTCAACAGTGTCCTGTCTCTCACAGGAGAAGTGCTGACAGAGGCCTGGAAGGGGTTTCAGGGAATATTGTTCCCTTTTGCCTTCCCAGTTGTATTAGTCCATTCTTGCACTGCTAGAAAGAAACGGCTGAAACTGTGTAATTTATACAAGGAAGTTTAATTTGCTAACTGTTCTGCAGGCTGTACAGGAAGCCTGGCAGCATCTGCTTCTGGAGTGGCCTCAGGGAACTTTTACTCAGTGTGGAGGCAAAGCTGGAGCAGGAGGAAGGGGCTGGGGGAGGTGCCACATACTTTTAAACAACCAGGTCTCATGAGAGCTCTATCATGAGAACAGCACCAGGGGGATGGTACTAAACCATTAGAAATTGCCCTCATGACTGGGCATGGTGGCTCATGCCTGTAATCCCAGCACTTTGGGAGGCCAAGGCAGGTAGATGATGAGGTCAGGAAATGGAGACCATCTTGGCCAACATGGCAAAACCCCATCTCTTCTAAAAATACAAAAATTAGCTGGGTGTGGTGGCATGCGCTTGTAGTCCCAGCTACTGGGGAGGCTGAGGCAGGAGAATCTCTTGAACCTGGGAGGTGGAGGTTGCAGTGAGCTAAGATTGCGCCATTGCACTCCAGTCTCGGTGACAGAGTGAGACTCCATCTCAAAAAAAAAAAAAAGATAAATAAATTGCCCTCATGATCCAGTCACCTCCCACCCCTACCTCCAACACTGAGGATTACATTTTCAACATGAGATTTGGGTGGGGACACAGATGCAAGCCATATCACCAATTTTCTACAAAATTCACAGATCAGGGCATATGTAATTAAATATGTATTTAGTTTAATTCTTTCAGATGAACTTCTTTCCTCTTCAGAGGTATCCCAGAACCCTGCCGAACAGCTTGCAGTTTCTGCTCAGCAGGTGGTTTCTGTACTTTCCCTGTGCTTTTGTATTTGTTCTTTTCCTTGTACAAGCTTTCACAGTCTTGACTGAAGTACTATTCCCGGAATGATTGATTTGCACAAATAAAAACTTTTCTTCCCAGCAAGCTGAGAAGTGACTCACCTGCCCACTTACCTCTACTCAGACCTGCCCTCCAGAAATTTAGAATTCTGAGAAGATCGCAGATAGTCAATTTAATTGCTTGGAATATGATTTTTGTTCTTTGATGTTTATTTCATAGGTATTTATTTAGTCATTGCTAGTGACTACTCTGTTTTGCGTCCTTGAAACGTTTTTGTCTTAATATCTGCTGTATTTTGTTTTTGGTCCTAGGAGTAAAAAGGCTGTCAGTGTCTGAGTTAAATGAACTCCTGGAAGAGATTGAGACTGCCATTAAGGAGTACTCAGAGGAGCTGGTGCAGCAGTTGGCCTTACGAGATGAACTGGAGTTTGAAAAGGAAGTGAAAAACAGCTTTATTTCTGTTCTTATTGAAGTGCAGAACAAACAGAAAGAGCACAAAGAAACAGCAAAAAAGAAAAAGAAACTAAAAAATGGCAGCTCTCAAAATGGGAAGAATGAGAGAAGTCATATGCCTGGCACAGTAAGTGATGTTTGCAGGAGGCCTCGAACACTGGAAGCAGTTTCTGTGGTAGTCCCAGCCTCCCGGGCTGGTGGCAGGTGCGACAGGTTGTAGGCAGGAGTGTTGCACTTCCAATCAGAGCCCAGTGGGATTTTATTCCAAAATACCATTGTGCTCAGCTTCCTCGGATGGTCGTTTTCTTGACTAGGGTGAACTGGTTATCTGAATCATACCGAAATATTTAGGAGGGAAATAAGTGGAAGGAAGAGGGGTGAGAAAGGAAAATGTCTTGAAGAAAAGAAGTTTTAGCAAGTGACCGTTTTTACTACATCAAAATGTGAATAGTGGTTATTTATATTTGGCTAGTAGTTTTTTTTTCTTATTTTTGCTGAACCCTTATGAGTTGTGTGATAAGAAATTAAAAGGGGTTTTATTTAGAGATAGCAGAACTCTGCTCAAGGCACAGATTGATTTGTAAACAGATTCCTTCTGATTTTTCAGCGAGGTTGGAATACGAGAAGGTAAGTAACATCAGCCATTTGGCCTAGTATTTGGGAGACCAGAATATTACTGACTAATGAAAACAAGTTTAGAACATCTGAAACTTATTTGACCCTGTGATGAGATTTTTTTTGTTTTCTGCTTTTTAAATTTTTCTTAAGTAGTCCTATAGACTTTAACCACTTGATTGAACTTCATTATAAACATTAACTCTTAATTCTGTGAAATGCATTTCCTTATTGATCTTCTGGCTATGTCATTTTTCTGTGATCAGTTGAAGTCTTGTATATTCCCACCTTGATTTTGTTTGTGTGTGAAGAATTGTTGGTTTTGTTTTTAGAGTATAATGGTTGGGTAAAGGGATCTCTTTTAATTTGTGCTATCAATAACATAGTCTTACAAATCATAAACTAGCTATTGTGGCTTGTAATAATATGAATTCTGTCTTTAATAAAGTCTGATTCATTTTTCTAAAGAATACTTACCAGAGAAATAGATCTTATTAGCTAGATGCTGATGGAATTCTAGAAATACAGTTCTAGGATGGTGGGCCACCAGTGAGCAGTTGACAACAGAGAGAGTCTTACCGTGTAGCTAATTTATTATGCTGTTATTAGCCTATGAAAACATCCATTTTTTTAGTGTAATGTTCATTTCTATCTATTTAAGAAGAAGGACATCACTTATACATTGACTTTGAAAAAAGTTCTCAGATATCTATTATTTTTAAGAAATGGCAGTATTGACTGAATAGGTGTTTGTTTAGTCGTTTCTAGTGAGTACTCGGAAAAAAAACAAAGACAACAACCCACATTTGTTTGAATATACAATCCTAGAAAATTAGCTTTAAAATAGGAGGGACAGTATTTTGCATTTGCATCTCATGTTTTTAAAACTGGCACCCTTTAAATTGCCCTGTTTTATAAGTGGGATTAAATAAAATGCTTAGTTAAAAAGTCACAGCATGGTTGGTAATTTCTGCCTATTTGCTTTTAGGGATTACATGTAGATCCTCCATTTATTGCTGTTAACACTTGGCTGAGAAAAGTAAATTTATCCCTAGAGGGATTTAAAGGCTTCTTTTTGTAACTCCCATGTAAAAGGGTTAGAGTAAATCCATTGTGTAATTTTACGGCATTTATATTGAGAAATGGATTTGGCAAGGCAACAGTTAGGTCTTCAGTCTTCATTGGCCTTGAAATAGATTCATAGTAACAGTAAATATTTTTCCTAATAGTTGAACTTTTGAAGTTGCATCTTGCCTGATTGACAATTTGTATCAAAAATTTTAATCAGGCCGGGCGCGGTGGCTCAAGCCTGTAATCCCAGCACTTTGGGAGGCCAAGGCGGGTGGATCACGAGGTCGAGAGATCGAGACCATTCTGGTCAACATGGTGAAACCCCATCTCTACTAAAAATACAAAAAACTAGCTGGGCATGGTGGCGCGTGCCTGTAATCCCAGCTACTTAGGAGGCTGAGGCAGGAGAATTGCCTGAGCCCAGGAGGCGGAGGTTGCAGTGAGCCGAGATCGCGCCATTGCACTCCAGCCTGGGTAACAAGAGCGAAACTCCGTCTCAAAAAAAAAAAAAAAATTTTTAATCAAGTCAGTAATGGCATGACTAAGCTTGCGGTACCAGTTTCGTGTATGCTTTTAAAGCCTAAAATGCGGCCGGGCGTGGTGGCTCACACCTGTAATCCCAGCACTTTGGGAGGCCAAGGTGGGCAGATCATCTGAGGTCAGGAGTTCGAGACCAACCTGGCCAACATAGTGAAACCCCATCTCTACTAAAAAAATACAAAAATCAGCTGGACATGGTGGTGTGCGCCTGTAATCCCAGCTACTTTGGAGGCTGAGGCATGAGGATCGCTTGAACTTGGGAGGCAGAGGTTGTGGTGAGGTATCGCGCCTGGGTGACAGAATGAGACTGTCTCAAAAAATAAAAATTAAAATTAAAAAAGCCTAAAATGTCAGGGAAAGACCATCCTATCAGTGACAAAAGTAGCCTGAAAGCGTGATTCTGAAAATAGTGGTAGGTTGCTCAAAAGAAACCCAAAGTGCAGTGACCAGTTGGATAAACAGATTCCAGGAGCTTTTACCAAACATCTCATGTCACATGCAGTTTGGCAAGACCTGATCTCCATGAGTTTGCTGTATCAGTGATAGTAATTCCTAAAAAATGGTGACCTCCTTAGAGCTGTCATGTGTTATCTGTTTTTCCAGTGACATCAATCACTTTTATTCCTACCGAAGATACTTTTGTTTTATTAGCAGGACTTAGAGTTTTTCGTTAAGTATGGAATAGCTTCCTTATGTTTTTCTTCATGTATGTTTCACTGAAGCAGTACATCAATTTGCAGTTGGCATACGACTTTATCTAAAATTGTTACCTTGTTCTCTTTGGTCCAGAGATTCTTTAATGAAGTATTAGGGTGAGTAGAGAGCAGAGTTAAACTTCGTAGGTGTTGATTTTGGGGCCAAATCAAATATTTGTTGCGGTGAAAAAAAAATAGGGGGCATAGAGATGCTATTTAGAGCATTAGAAAATTTCATTAGATCATGAAAATACGTGAAATATTACAAAAAATATTATAAAAGTGAAATATTATTTTGATTTGAGTTTTAGGTTTAAAATAACCATAATGCTTTACGTTGGATAAGATGAAACAACATTCATTCATTCAGCCAGTATTTGTGGAGTGCCTCCTGTGCCAGGTGTTCAAGATACAGTGGGCAGGATGGTTCATGACGGTCATTCTAGCACTTTGAGAGGCTGAGGTGGGAGGATCCTTTGAGCGCAGGAGTTTAAGACCAGATTAGGCAATATAGTGAGACCTTGTCTTTACAAAATAAAAATTGTAAAATTAGCCAGCTGTGGTGGTGTGCACCTGTAGTCCCAACTACTTGGGAGTCTGAGGTGGGAGGACGGCTTGAGCCCGGGACGTTGAGGCTGCAGAGAGCCATGGTCACATCACTCCACTGCAGCCTGACCCTGTCTGAAAAAGAAAAACAAGACATAGTGGCAAATAGAATAGACAAGGCCCATCTCATGCCTTCCTGGAGCTTATATTCTAAGAGGGAGAAAGGCAATAAACAAGGAAAAGAATGAATAGATGATGGAATTTTAGTTAGTAAATAAAGGCCATGAAGAAAACCAAAGGCTGGGTGAAGCAGTAGATAGCAGTGCTACTGGGAAGCTGTTTTGGAGAGTGTCACTACATCACTGCTTCTCATTGGCAAGGGAAGCTGCCTAGTCCCTTCCCATTCTCAGTTTGGAGGGGAGATTAGAGGTGTGGACCTCTTTGGAAAATGCAATTCAAGAGAGTGGAAGGCTTTATATTTCCTCTCTTTTTTTCCTGCAACATCTGGAGGAGCAGAGGATGGGGGTTAAAGTGGTTAAAGGGCACTGTCCGTTTATCACTGTGGTGACCTACGTGTATTTCTTTGTACTGACCATGCTGCTGTAAGTGATGCTTCTGTATATTCAACAGCTTTTTTTCTGGAATCAAATTCCTTACCTGCTTCTCCTGTCCACTTGGGGGATGGTTTTTTTTTTTTTCACTCATCCTTCAAAGTCACTCATCCTTCCTTTCTTAGAACCTTCCTTGATGACTCTTTCTCCGATGCAGAGTTGACTACGCTCTCTTTCTTTGGGTGTTAGTATTATTCCTCTTTATTATTTCTATTATCATTGCCATATCAGATTGCAATTTTTTGTTTTCATGCCTATTTTATTTCCCTAAGGATAAGAAATTTAACTTTACTTTCTTGGTATCCTTAGATCCAACCTTAGGTACCTAATATATGTCTGCTGAATGAAGGAATAAATGAAAGATAAACTTGCAAAATGTATGTTTCTATCTTGGACCTTTCTGCCAGGTGTCATACCCATGAACGATGAATAGAATATTGACTAAGAGCTTTGGCTTAAGAGCTATGTTTGAATCTTGGTCCTGCCAATGTATACAGATGGCTTTGAGTTTTGGAGAGATTAAATGAAATAATGTATGTAAGATTAGCAAACTCCATTAGTAAATGCTAATTATTACATATATATTACATAATTATTACATATGTCCAACTGCCTACATGGATATCTTGTAGGAGTGTGAAATTTACACTATTAAACCAAAGTTGTCATTCTAAAATTGAATTATTTTCTTTTTTCTTTTGGTTAGTGAAACTAATTTATCCATTCACTGAAACCAGTAGAATTTCCAAGTCAAAGAATATACATTTAAATGGCTTTACATGACCAGCTTTCCAAATTATTCTGTAGAAAGGTAGCGCAGTAAGAGTGGAAGAATGACCATTTTCCCACACCTCCCACCAACAGTGGATATTATGAGCTTTTAAAAATACGCCAATTACATAGGCAAACAGTGGGTTTGATCTGTCGATCATTTGTATTCTTTTATGAGTTGCCTATTATTGTTATATGCCTATTATGAGATGGTTTCATGTTTATTTGTGAGGATACACATACTTTTGATATTGAAATACCACACTGTGTTGTAATCA